CCCAGCTGGCCAAATTCCTGTTTCTTTGTGCAACACCTAGTGACATAAAGGGAAACAGAACTAATCTGTTGCTGGTCTTTACTATCCTGTTAACTCCACTCATTGTTGCAACCCCTTCAAGGTAGGCCAGACCAGGGAACAGACGCCATGAGAAGTATGGGAACTGTGCTTCATTGTTACAGGCTATAACAACAGAATCCTGAATGCCTGATAGATTCTCCCTGTTCCCCCTTATGCAAAAGAAAGTCAAGGCAGGGCAATGTTGAGTTCTTTCCTCACCCCTCCTGCCAAAGTGGACTGAGCTGATGTTTATATAACAGTTGTTAAATTCTTCTTGAAGTCCCGATCCTTCTACAGTTTTGCTTCTACGACAGGTACCAATTGCGTACACCAAATGTTAAAAAATGCATTATTACTGCCTTTTCCCTGTTGTGAAAGGTCACTCTTCCATATAGGTAGGATCTCGACAGAAATGCTAGAGTCTACACCATTTACAACTCTACTCTACAACAGCACTCCTGATGACTGAAACGGTGATGATACTGGAAGCCTAGCATGAATATTTAGGGCTAGCCTTGTTTCCTGAATAAGCCAGCTCATTGTGCCTGCACAGAAGCTTCTGCTGGCTGTCAAGGGCAAAAAGAGGCTAAGAGGAGAGACTGCAGAGTGACAGAAAGCACTTCATTGGGTTGGCTGCATCTGCAGCTTTTTCTCAGTGAGACGCAGCCGGAAGCAACCCACGGAGGAAAATAAAAGCTGCCCCAGGCAAGCCCAGCACTTAAGGATGAAATCCAACTTAGTCTGTGAAAGGATGTGCTCACCAGAAATCCAAATGACCGAACTGTGTGTCTAGGTGGGTGTGTTTGCTTTACAGACTAAAATGAAGTAATCCTTCGGAGACTACAAATCCCCAAATGCTTCCATTACGTTTCACTGGTTTTATTCCCCTCCATCTCTTTTCCATCCACAATATATTAAAAAACAAAAGGCATTTCACCATAATATTTCAGCTCTGAAATGGGCTAGCTTTTTGCTGTCTTTTCTCTCTAGGAACATCAGAGTGGTTGGAGAACTCCAAGTTCATCTCCTTCAAATTAAGAAAATGAGTCATTTTTCCTCCCAGATTATTCATTTAGTACAAGTAGGAAGTTGTGGGCATGGTCTATGTTTTTATAATCCATAGGTAAGTATAATCTCTGAATCATTTGATAACTTGTAGCTTTTCTGAAGGAAAAAAATAATAAACTAGCAATCTAAGCAGTGTATAGGTATGGAGCGTCACAAAGATACAGGTCCTGAAACCTATTATATATAAACTGTCTTATTATTTAACTATATTTTACCTGAAGCGTTTACAGTCAAACTGGATAAATATTCAATTTGGAGAGTCAGTTAGAAAGTGATTAAATTATTTGGCAGTCTGAACTGAGCCATCAAAGCATTCCAAAACTCTGAAATAAAAGCCTAAGAGTCCATTTTAAAAAGATTTAGATCTGGAGATTTGAGAAGCTTTTGCACATCCACACTTTTTCTGAACAGAAAGTCCAGATTGGATCCATCCAGTTTTTAAAACCCATTTGGAAATTTGACTCAGATTAAGACTGATTCACACATCTCTAATCTATATACCATTTTTCACGTGAACATCACCAAAATGGTTTACATTAAAACATTAAAAGAATAAGCATATGAAAGTTATATTGACTGATTACACACCTACTCTTAGGAACTGCAAGTTGTATAATAAATGTTAATTTAAACTTTAAATTTTAAAGACAAACTGATTTATTTAAAAAATACATGAAGTCAAGACTTAGCAACTTCATGAGGGCATAAACTTTCATGAACAGCAACTGGCATTGTCTCTTTTGCACAGATTTCAGGTTCTCCATAGGACAGACAAGCCAGACTCTGTGCAAGAGAATGGAGGCAAAGTGGATGACAGAGCTGAAAACAGTGACAACATTTCAACCTTCCACAACATTCCAGAGAAACTTCATGGCTGTGGTATAACAAGAGATACATTATACCAGATTTAAACATTCCAATCCATTATGGAAGGGTTGAACAAGGACAATGGGTTCTTAGCCTATCACATTTGCTAACTGATAAGGTAAGGCTCAGCTTTTTCTTCCAATCTCCATTACTGTAAGCCAGTTAGCTTCTCACCTTGTTATTCCTCACCTCCCTTCCCCTTCTTCCTCCCTTTATTTAAAACCCTGTAATAGCAAACCCATTCTATGTACCTGATGGTATGAGCTGCTGTCACAAAAGCTTATGCCCTAATAAAGGAGGTTAGTCTAAAAGTGCTATCAGACTCCATGTCTGCATTGTTGCATAAATGAGCACATCTCTTCCTCCCTCTTCACTGTTTTTTTTTTAAGCTGATCTATTGTTTTAATTACTGTGAGCTGCTCTGAGATTTTTGGACAAGGGCAACAACATAATATTCTCTCCTCAGTGCAAGATGACTAGTGAATAAGTTTGTGATGACACTTGAGAGGAAATGGGGCCAGCAAGCTTAATACATATGTTATGTGATGTGACTTGAACAACACAATTTCATACATATGTTCATCAGTTCCTCCTTCACTTGCAGCTCCCTTGTCGCAGGCTGGAGATCCCATAAAACTCTGTGGGAATCGGGATGACGACAAGGGGAAGGGGAGAAATCAGTTAAATTGCTTTCCCCTTTCTTTTTCCCCTATTAGAAACATCCTTGGATTCTGTCCCTCTCAAAAAGATTCTTCAGTAAAATCCCTCCCCGTGAGTTAAAAAAAGAAGTCCTCTTGTAGACTGGAAGCTGATTAAAAGCAGAGAGCACGAATAGATTGGCAGATGTTGTGACAGAGGGAAGTAGACCATGGTGTCTCCCAAAGATCCGTACTGGGACCCCAGTTGGTCATACATTATCTGGACTGACTAAAGAACAGTGAGACAGTCAATTCATTGACAATGTGGATTTTTTTTCTTTTTAAAAACAACTATTAAAAATAGGAGGACAATACTGAGTTCTAAATGGCTGTTCCCACAGTGGGAAAATGTATGTATGTATGTATGTATGTAAATAACATGTACATCAGTATAAGAAAGTATGTAAATGACATGTACTTCAGTACAAAAGGGGTCTCTGGTAGTGAGAAAACAGGCACACACATACACATATACAGTATGTGTGTGTTTATACCTATATCTATATACCTATATCTATCCATATAAAATCTTTTATGCTAACCAGAACTTGACATTATAGTTAATTCAGTGAGTTAATTGTGATTTTTTTTAACAATGACTTGTTTAAAAAAGGCAAATTTCAGGCTGGGCATAAGTAGAAAAAGAAAAGTAGAGAAAGAAGCAAATAAAAAGCCCATTATCATCAAATATCTTGTAGTGTGACTCTGAATACCATCTGCAATTCTTGTCACCACATTTTGAACCAATTCAGAAGAGTTAGAAAAAGTGCAGAAGATTGCCAAAGGGGCTCTCCTCTATGAGAAAAGGTTGCCCTGTTTGAGGCCTTTTAGCTTAGTAGGGGAAAGAAGTAAGAGGAGACATTATAGAATATAATGTATAAAACATTATAGAATGTGTATAAAATAAAGCACAAGGCACTGAGAGGTTTTCTTCCTCTCACAAAATACTAGAATTTGGAAGCATTCAACCAACCTCATTTCAGGATTGCTGAAAGGCAGTCCAAGAGAGGTCTCCATGATACGCTCATTTGTTTTTTAGCAGAAAAGAAACAAAAACTCTTATAGCATTTAAAAATGAAAGATTAGATTGTGAAATAAGATTGCATGAATTAAAATCAACTGCTGTGCACACAGACTATAAACTGCATACTGATGGCCATTAAATTGGACAATTTTGAAAAAAAGTTAAGGTTATGCTTGTGAAGGATGGCTCTGCAAGTGGGGAATCACTGCAGTGTGTTAGCTTTCAGCATTACTGGTAGAGCTGCCTTATAAAGATTTACAAGCTGTATTAATTGGACCCCCCATAAAAGAACTTTAAAATAAAGTCTCTTTTCTCCTAGCAGATTATAGGCCCATTGTTACCTATAAAGTGGCTGAATTTTGTCTAGCAGTTATGAGAACATGGCAGCAAATGTCATGCAGTACAGTTGGGTGTTATTTAAAAAAACCAACCTTCCTTCCTTCCTTCCTTCCTTCCTTCCTTCCTTCCTTCCTTCCTTCCTTCCTTCCTTCCCTCCCTCCCTCCCTCTTGTTCTTTTAAATTTTTTCTTATATTGATTATATTATGTTGCTTTTTAGATCTTCCCATATTGTATTTATGAATGATGAGGGATCTTACATCTATAAACTGGTCTAAGGCTGTAATAAAGTTCCCTCCTTGCCTGAAGAGTGCCTTTCTTATCAGAAGAAAACATTATGCCTTGTACAGCTGCTCTCAAACAGCTTTAAACCTAATTCATAAGCATTACTCCTGTCATGAATGGATGCTTAGGCAGAATATATTTTTATGAGATTAGCATGGATATCGAGCCATTAACTACTGTGATTGTATTCTGCTATAAATATAACTACATAAATGTCTTGCTCAGACATCTATCCCATTTAGATTCGTGTCCCTTTATTCTTGGATAGGGGTTGGAGGATTGCTGCCTTTTGGCACAGGGAAAACAATATTAGATAAACTCAGAACAGGATCCAGTTTCTTATTTATGGATCCCAGAAGTAAATAAATTTCATCTGGGGACTTAAATACATTTTACACCCACTTAATGTTGTATCTGCTTCAGACACAATCACTGGCACATGTATACAGGTCCCTCCTCACTGGAAAGATAGGCTCTTCTATTCTACTCTGGAAAAAGAATCTTGGAAATGACATATTGCAATTGACATGACATGTGGCAATTCTACTTTCAATAAGCACAGATGCCCAGGAGCAGTGCAAGTCACTTGGCTAGGTGTTGGGTAGGCATCACTGAGTTCACCTAAGCTGATACTTTCTCTTGATCCCACAGGTTAAGCAATATGAACATGGTGGACATCAACCACACATTTGTGACAGAGTTCATATTTCTGGGGTTCTCGAATCAACCCAGGGTGCAGCTGATCCTTTTTCTCGTGTTTCTAGGTTGCTATCTCCTGACGGTGCTGGGGAATGTCACCATCATCTCTGTTGTCAGAGTTAATCCTCAGCTTCATACACCCATGTATTTTTTCCTTGTTAATCTCTCCTTCCTGGACATTTCTTACATCTCCACCAATGTCCCCCAGATGCTGCTGAACCTCATGACCAGATGGAAGACAATCTCATTTGGGGGCTGTGTGATCCAAATGTATTTTTCTTTGGCATTTGGCATGACCGAATGCTTCCTGCTCGGGGTCATGGCTTATGACCGCTATGTGGCCATTTGCCAACCTTTGCATTATGCAGCCATTATGACCTGGAAGCTCTGTACCCAGCTGGCTGTCTTTTGCTGGAGTAGCAGCTTAATGAGCTCCATGGTTATTAATATTTTCACCTTTCAGTTGCCTTTCTGTGGTCCCAATATCTTGAATCATTATTTTTGTGAGGTGCCCGCTGTGCTGTCTTTGGCTTGCACTGACACTTCCCTTGCTGAAATGGTTGTGTTCATCTTCAGCATGATCATAGTCTTCATTCCCTTCTTGTTGATTATCATTTCTTACTCCTACATTTTCCTAACTGTGCTACAGATACAAACTGCTCAAGGAAGGGCCAAGGCATTCTCAACCTGTGCATCCCACCTCACGGTAGTTGTCATATTCTATGGGACAGCCATTTTCATGTATATGCGACCAAGGATCAGGTCTTCCCAAGGCAGGGACAAAGTAATTGCTCTGTTTTACACTATCATTATGCCCATGCTCAACCCTATTATATACAGTCTGAGGAACAAGGATGTGAAGAATGTTCTGAGGAAGCTACTGGCATTACTAAAATGCTGAGCCCTTTCACTGGAAGGCTTTTTTCGGTATTAGCTTTTGACAACCAATCTGATAAATGCAAGAAGTAAATGAAAATGTTTTAGCAGCAAATGAGTCAACACAATCATGTAGCTGGGGATTGTTCTCCCCTTTTAAGGAATGTGATATAATCTTCATAAGAGAGGAGAAGAATACAATTCCAAAATCTAGAAAAGAGGGACCAATTTTCACTATATGCTATGTAACCTATGAATGCAAATGCTGCATTTGTCCAAAAGGAAGATAATTCTGAATTCAGAATGATACTTCCTAAAAGGAAGAAGTAGAAAAACAGGATGTAAAATGTGTTGAAGAGAAGGAATAATTGGACAGAGAAGGAAAGAAAAGAGAAAGAGGCCCTGTTTAGGCATTCTAAAATAGGTTCAATTCTCTAAGCAACATTTTTCCTCAGAAAAAATTAATCTCCAGGGTAAATTTCAGAGGATCTGATGCTTCTTATTGGGAATGCTAGCACCCTTTTACAGGGTCTGGACATTCCTTTGTTTTCAACAGCTTCCATTCTTAGCAGCAAATTCCTAATTCACAGGTAATGTGGGAAGGCAGAGAGAAACCTGTCCAAATGAAAAAAATAGAATATTCCAAAAGATATATTGTACCCCTTATGGATAGAGCAGCAGCATAAAATTAAAAGAAGGAAGGAAAAAATCTAATTGTTCTTAACATTATTTTTTATTCTAGAACAAGTACACATTATTAAAATAAGTACATGCAGTTCTCTTCACCAAAGCAAAGAGGTGATTCAATTTGCTTCAAATAAGCACTTTGTACTGCTTCAAAGTTTCTCCTTGTCTTCTCTTATCACATGCAAAGCCAGACGAGTCTTCTGTGTAGGTGCAGAACTGTGTTACAACCCCTTCCAGTCTTGATGAGGGCAGATGGAAGAAGGTGTAAAGTTGTGTTCCTCAACAGTGCTTACAAAAGCTTTTGGTGAACAACCCTGGAGGAGCTGAGCAGTGCATCTTGGCATGAAGCTCACTAAAGCTTCAGTTGAGTGGTACCACAGGAGGCAAGAGGCATCTCTTCCATCAGAGTTCATCAAAACTTGGATGGGTGGTGTTGAAGAAGGCAAACAATAAGTCCTCCATCAGTGCTCTCCAAAAGGTGGACTGAGCATGTTGGGGAAGACAAAAGGCATGTCCTCCCATAGTGCTCCCCAAATCTTTGAGCAAGTAATATTGGCAGAGGCAGAGCATTGCATTCTCCAGCTATACTCACCAAAACTTTGTGAGACAGAACAAAATGAAACAGCATGATCACATTCAGAAGTGAGGAGGCCTCATTTCTTCATGTAGCAATTTCAAGGGAGCATTTTGCTCAAGCCTTCATCAAAGTGAAGCACCCCTTCAAAGATTTGTACATTACATTTTTCAAGAATAAAAGCCTCAAATCTAAATAATCTAGTGTCAATTTTCCCCAACATTCTTCCCATGTATACTGAAACAAAGTATATAAGAAAATTCAGCTCGAGCTTTCAAATAAGGGGGGGGAAACCCTCCAGTGTTGCAATCTTTAGTTCTCCTACCTTTATACTGGAAAAAGACCTTTGATTGGGGCATCTGCTATTAAGTATGTAATAGAATATTTTAGTTGAAAGCTTGGGGCTGATTTATAAATGTGGGTAAAAATAACCAATTTCATTTATTGAACAGTTTGACTTTTTCTGCATGGCTCAGTGAGATTAGTCTTCATCTCCTTGAAACCTGCCAATTCCTGTTGGCTACATCACCATTTCCATAAGGCTTCCTTGGCAACACTAGTTGGTTAATATTCAAACATTGTACTTGTCTCTTTAAGCTCTGATGTTATATGCATATACTGTACCTGGGAATAAGCCACATAAAATTCAATAAACATTGTGTCTAAATAGGCAGGTATTTGCTGCTATAAAACACCATCTTGTAGAACTGGAAATTACCAAAAGGGTTCTAAAAAATCTGAGCATATTTCTAAATTTCTTTTTGATATATCGAAGCATTTTTATTTAATGGCCATTGAATGCCAGTGACTGTATTGCTGTAAAATCACCAGAGGGAAAACTGAAGCAGCTGTCAGGGATCTGGGTAAGCCAAAACTTTAGATGACCACCCCTTCAGTGTGGTGGAGGAAGTTGGATTCAGCATCTCCTCTATGTGATTGCTTCAACTACTGGATACCCTTGGATATCATTTGCACCATATTGATGGTGCCCAATATTACCATACACTTCACCGCAGATGGTTAAGATAAAGTGGGCACAGCTTACTTCTCCATCACCACACATTGTGAGTGGGGTGAGAATGAAAGGATACCTGCTGTTGTATTCCCAGCAACTGCAGGGCTGCAGGACCAAGAAACAGGTGGGTACTGCCTCACATTGAAATGATGGACCTGATTCACACATTGGATGATGTGCGGGTGACTATGACTGACGTGTCACAGAACTAGCTAACTGGGTAGCCAAATCAACCATAATTTCATGAGCATGGATAGCAATGCTAAAAAGAAAAAGACATCCCATCACGCTGTTTGTCGGAAGCATTGTTCACAGATTGAAACTGCTTGTTTGAGATGGCCGTGATCTGGAAGTGGTCACCAGCACTCTTACAGATGGTTAAGTTTACAGATAATTTCCAGTTGAGAATGAAGGGGAGATGAGTGCTAAGCAAGTCCCAGATCAAACTGAAGCTACTGACCCTTGTTCCTGCAGATTTGCTAGAAATATGACTTCAGTAGCATTCATGGCTGAGGAACAGGGTAAAATTTTCTGAGTATAAATTTTATAAATATGAGATCTTATGCAGTAATCAATCACTAAATTACATACAAGTTCATGGAGATGAAAAGGGTGGTATAGCTATAAGATTTACCCTGGCTATTCGGATTTTCTTTCTAGATTATTTTACCTCCCTTTTGTCACAAATGACAAAAATACATAAAGAGAGAGAGAGAGAGTGTGTGTGTATGCATCAGGGTGTACCAAAAGTAAGGCTCCATAGGCCAATAGACATTGTAAAGGAGACCATCACACTAGAATTTACAAACACCAAAGAAAATATTACTGTACTTAGGAATGTTCAAAGGTCTTACGTCAAACGAGTAAGGAAGTGTTTAGGGAAAAAAATGGCAACCAGCTAGAACATTTAATGTAATTTATATAATAAATTCTCTATGGGACCTGACTTTTGGTACATCCTGTGTGTGTGTGTGTGTGTAAGAAAGAGAATAGATAAAATTATAAATGGAAAGAAATATCTAATGGAGAACTCTCTAAGGAACAGGCCCTCAAGTCTATTTTCTCATCAGGAAAAAAAATTATTTGTTACTGATCTATCTGTTCATATAATAGCTAACTTTTAATCACAGCATAGCATTTAGGTTTTCTCCAAATAAGAGGTCCCTTGGATGGTATCCCTGAGAGACAATATGATCTTCTGAAATAAATATGCCCCAGCATTTTCTAATCAGCATTTTCTTATATAATTGTGTCCATGAAGAATTTTTTTTCCTGAATTTCATTTGATAAATTAGTTCTGGGATTCAGGAACCATGAGAATTTGATGTTCTGAATTTATATACTTCCAGAATCAAGAGGCTGTATTGCTGAAATGTATTAGAAGTACCATCAAAAGTAAAAGCTGATTTTTGTTGAGGAGGTTGGTCTCCAAATAGATCCAACTCGATTCTAAGCAGGGAAGAAAGAAGAAGAAGTAACCCATTTTCACTCTTCCCTATTTCAATACTGGTTTGTAAGAGAAGTAAATATTAAAGGCCATGAATTAACAAATAAAATTAAAGAAAGAAAATAGATATTTTATGTGTCTGTGAAACTAAGAGAAAGGATGTGATGAATCTGAGGGAAGGTAGCCTTATATTGTGGGGTAAAGTTGAAGTTCACCTGGATAAAAGAGAAATTGAATGAAAGCACTAAAATTTATGTCAGAATATAATAATTTGTGTCATCTAGGTTTCTGTGAGTGTGTAAGAATATAGAAATCCACAGGTTGGCACCAGTTATACATTTTGCTCCAGTAAATGGTGATAATGGAAAAACCAAAGATGAGATTTGGGGAAGTTGTACAATCTTCTTAATAAATGCAATCCAGAGAAAAATTATTTTGCTAGGTGACATGAATGGATGTACAAGAATGAAGTAAGAGAATAAAGGAAAAGTGGGCCATCCAAGACCCAAGAACAAATAAGAACGTTGACTGATAAGTATCAGCTTTGAAAAAAGGCTGCTTTTTCAAATACATGATTTAACATAAATCTATTCATACACACAAAAGCAAATATATATATATATGTATGTATGTATGTATGTATGTATGTATGTATGTATGTATATGTATATATGTAACAGTAAAATTGATTTGATTGTTTATGAAGAAAAATGAAAAGAAACGGTGAAGTCTATTAGGGTAATGACGAGTTCTGAGTGTAGGTCAAGGCATTTTTTGGCAGTGTCACAGGATCTTAGGAAAAAATGGAGATGGAAGAAAAGGGAAAAAATAGAAGACATGAGAGTAATAGTAGAATGATTGCAGAAAGAGAAAGTACAGTCCTATGTGACAAGTATCAGAAAACAGATTAATCTTTCAAAAGAAAAAATTAAAACTAAAGAAAAATATATGGACTTGGTCAGAACAGAGTGAAAAGCTTTATGACCCAGAGTGCTAAAGAAGCAGGGGGCGGGGGGATGAAAAATTCGTTTAGTGGGATGGGATGAAAAGGGCTATGTATGAGAAAAATCCATAGAAGAGAATGCTTGCTGCAAGAAATGGGCATAAAAGAAAAGTATTCTATAATGTCTATTTTTTTAAAAAAAGATAATTGCAAAGAATGTATTCAAAGAGAGCAAGGAATGGTTAAGGCCAAAAAGACAGAGAAAATGCAGAATTATTTTGATGACATTTTTAAAAATATATATATATTTTTGAAGTGGGTGAAGAAGGCTAAACAAGAACTCCACAGCAGAACAAAAG